TGCTACTGGGCTACGAATGTTGCCCTGGCTTTTTTTTGTTGTTGTTAAATTTCTCCAAATCTTCTCTGATTCTAATAACTCCCTTGTGTTTCTTAGTAACTTTGTTGGTTTACAGTCATTCATCTGTTGTATTTGCTTCTAAAAAAGATCAGCAATAATTGTGGAAGGACACCCTTCCTTCCTTCCTTCCTTTCTTTCCTGCTTCCCCCTCTCTCTAGCAGGTGTGACAGCACCCCTGGAAGGGAAATAACCAAAACTTCCTCTCCTAGTTGAATTGAAGGGGAGGGGGGTTTAGTTACAAATGTCTTCCTTTGTCTTCCTTTGTGGGGAAAGAATATGCAGACTTTGCCACTCAAGTTCAGCTCATTGACCACTAGGAGACGCCATGTGGTCTGAAAGACTTCTCAGGACAAGGTGGCCTTCAAGGCCCCTATGGGTGGATTGTCCCATATACCATGAGTTGACCTCTGGAAGACCTCATCACAGTTAAGAGAGCTACCATTTTATTTAATTCTTATCATTGTTCTCTACTGTTACTATATTATTTCTAGTGGGGTGGTCATTAAACGTTCCCTCCTGGTGCCCCCACATTTTAGAAAGTGTGAGCCAGCTTGGATGAGAAGCTGGATATACTCCTTAAAACACCAACACACCCAACTCCACCGACTGCTTGGCCCAGGTTTTCCTTTGGCTGTTTTGAGGCTGGCAGTCACTCTCAGGGAAGCTATCAGAGAAGACCTTTCATTGACTGCTGGAAAGCAAAAGTGTCAAAGACTGAACTGCTTGTATGAGCAACAGGAACAACACATCTGAAGGCATCTCTTTCTGTCCAGAAGTAAGTAAGGTCACCTTATACTGAGCAGGTCATCTGACAATCTCTTCTCTGTCTATCATCATCCGCAACTTGCTTTTTGTTTATTTGCGTCAGAAGCACCACAATTAAAATAAGGCATGCTCTATGACATAACATTTAAAATATAAAATACAACATTTAAAATAAATACAAATCTAACAGATCTTGCCCAGAAACTAGCAGCCTTAATTGCATTCTATCATGAGATCCTCAAGTGTGCACTGATGAAGACACAAAGGGTAGGTATACATATGTGTTGTTGTCTGCATGTCACCACAATCGCAAAGGGCAGAAGGCACCAAATAGCCCCATTTGTTCAGAGTGTCTCCAGATCTTCTTGTACCCATGCACAGTCTGTTCAGTGATTTCCATACTTCCCAGCTTTTATCAGACCTGGTGGCAGCTCCTCCGTTGTTGGTTCAGTGTTGGTTCTCGATGAGGAGAGGTTCTCCTGTGAGTTACAGCTACTCTGAGTTTCTGCAAGCTCCTGTTGTTATGTCACCATTGATGGCATTTAATCACTTTCTCTTCCGTCTGCTTCCTTTTTTTTTTTTTACTACTTGTGATTTTTCCAATGACCTGCCACTATACAGACTGATTTTATTTCATCACCTATTGAACATTTTGTTGCTGTCCAAGGTACCTCCAACCATTCAAAGTCACAAATTTTTTCTTCATTTATCCTTTCTGCTGGCCCATCTTTCATAGCCATTGAATTATATTTGAGAAACCATACTCTTGACAATATATACCATTGTAGTCAATATTTCAATATTTTGACTTCTCTGTCAGAATGTTTCTCCATATTGCAGATGGCTTTCTATTTTCTTACAGTCACTTTTCCTGTAGAGCAGGGTGTTCACCCTTCTCAATCTTAAGACTTGTGGATTTCCTGTCCCAGAATTTTGGGAGTTGAAGTCCACAGGTTTTGAAGTTGTCAAGAGTGGACACTCCTGCTGTACATTTTAGGTACCACTTCTTCCATTCGTTCTCTGATTGTTTGCATTGGGTTGACATTGTCCACTGATAGAATTTTAGGACCTTTGTTTTGTTTTTGAAGGCAGTGGACCAGCTTTAATCTTTCTTTGATCTTCAAGAAAAGATTCCTTTTCACTTAACCCTATCACCAAAGTGGTCCCTTCAGCATACTCCCATGGTTTGATGCTTCTCCCAAATTTCTGCTCTTCCTAGCCTAGCAGTTCAGCACGTAAGTCAAACAGATCCTGTGACAATACACAACCTTGGCTCATCCCTTTCTCCATCTTCAAACTACACTCCATCTTCTTTTCTCGTTATTCTTTGGCTGTTCTAAATCCTTTTTGGTTGCTCCCTATTTTTTTCTCATTATTTCTTCATCCTGTAGCTTCATCAAGAAATATGTAAATCGTTGAATAGACTGCACAGGGGTATCCAGAAATACCTTAAACAAATGGGACTGTCCAGTTGTGTCTGCCTTTTATGATTGTGATGACATGTATACAACACCACACACATATATACCTGCCCTTTGTGCTCCGATCAGTGCACGTTTGAGACCTCATGCCACCATGACAGAACGCAATTAATGTTGTTAGTTCCTGGGCAAAATCTGTTTAATTTGTACATATTTCAATGTCGTATTTTTATATTTTATATCATACAGTATACCTGATTTTAATTGTGATGCTTCTGAAATGAATAAACAGACATCAAGAAGCAGAATGAGGTGAACTGATTCCAATCCATTAATCATTTTTCAAATCGACAGATATCCCTTTCTGGTGTCTGGATCTGCACAGATCATGCCAGGAGAAACTTAGTGATCTGTTTTCTTTGCAACTCCCCTCTTAGTGCTCTCCAGCAGGGACTTTGCATTTTTACAGCAGCCACAAACTGGGTCCATATTTTCAGGTGCCAATAGGGTCTCCCTTTCCTGTTCAGCCACTGGGTGGGATTGCACAGACAGCTGCAAGAAGGGATCATTGCTTTGCTTCAAAATTACTTTTTCCTGCCTGGGAATTTTGTAGCTTGGCACACCTGCCTTCCCGTAGGGTTTCCTTGGGATCAGCCGATGGAGACCTGGAGGGGAAGCCGAACAAGAGGCAAAATACCCTTGACTCACTCTCCCTTCCCCAGAGAAGGCTGGCAGCAGCTGCCCCCCTTCCCAAACAACCCCATCCGCTGGACTGGAGGCATCAACCGCAGATTCGCACCAAGAGTTGGTTATAAGACGGGCGGCTTTATCAATGCTCAAACAAACAAACAGGCGGCTTCTCTTGCGGATCATTCCAGGCCGGGCACTTTTGGCAGAGTCCTCTCTCCGCCCTCCCCAGAAAGCCAGCCTGGTACCGCTGACCTTGGAGAAGGAGGGGGGGGGGGGCGACCCAGCCAGCTTATGAATGAAATTCCAGAGAGAGCCGGGCGGGGCTTCGCTTCTTACGCCGGAGCATCTGGGTACACCTCGAAGGGACGGGTGGGGGGAGAGCCAGCCAGGCGCCCTGCTTGTTATTCTGATCATGGGCGCCGCTGATTCACAGCCTGGGAGCCGCTCATGAATAGAAGCGGAGAATTTTGACGTCAGAGGGGAGATTTATCAGCAGACCCAAAGGGCGAAGAATATTCAGAGCTGCGGGCTGCCAACCATCCGCCAGCCTCGCCTGGCCATGCTCGCCCGGGAAGGACGCGCTGCTTGCGCCCCAGACTGAACTAGCGGGGCGCGGAGAAGCAAGCCGGACCCGAGACTGTCCGACGCCTCGCAAAGCCAGGTAAAAAAGAGGCCCGTCCCAAGTGCCCCCTTTCTTCCCTCCCCGGACCCCAAGGAGCCCTTCCAAGCGGCCGCCTCGGGCCAGCCTGGCATCCCTGCAAAGTAGTAAAAGGAGAAAGATTTATACGATCTGAAGAAAAACCAGAGCAAAAGCGCAGCCGGGTGGAAGAGCATTTCACCTGCGCGCCGGCGTAGGGAGAGCCCAGTCCACTGGGGTAGTTTGGCTAGTGGGTGGAGGGGACAGTGTGGGGCGCGGGGGAAGGGTGGCTTTCCCACCGCCCGACCAGCAGCCCAACCTAAGCCGCCTCACCCACCAGCGGTTTTCTCAGCCTGTCTGCGGGGTCTTGCGAGAGCCTCCTGGTCCCCCCCTCAAACCTAGAGGAACCGCGGGAAATTTCTGGGCTTTTCCCGGATTGCCTGCAGGGGGCGGCAAAGAGCCTGAAATGGGGCGCAGGTCCTCCTTTCACGGAAGGAAAGGCAGCAGCGCGTCTCCTTCAGAGCGGCTGGGATCGAGAGGGGCGAGGGCGAGGGGCCTGGAGAGGAAACCTGCTTTAAGGGAGGTTTGTTGCAGTAACTGAGCTTCAGGAGGGGCAGGAGACGCCGGCCGCAGTTGGGGAGAAGAGGCGGCGCTTTCCCTGCCGTAGATAGGAAGGGACGAGAGACGCTCCTTTGCAGCCGCCTCCCACTGCCGCTGGGCCTCAGTCGTCAGGACAGACTTTAGGAAGCGCGGCGTGGCGGGAGGGGAGGCTGAGGCTCTGGCTCTCTGCAGCCCGCGGGAAGCCCCAGCTTCAGATTCAAGAAATTGAACCCAAGATACAAGCTCCGAACTCGGGAGAAAGCGAGCGAGGCGCTATGGGCCACGATGGGATGCTTTGCCTGCCCTTTGGATGCAGCTGAAGAGGGAGCTGGTGATGATGTCACCGCCTCTGCATCCTCCGGGGGAGGGGAAATCTCCCCCAACTCCCCACCAGTGTTGCACTACATACCCCATCCTCCTCGGCGGAAGACACGTAGGAATCCAACACTTCGGAGGGATGAGGGACAACCTAGGAAGAAAGGAAGAGGAGAAGGAGGAGAACTTGTGCCCAGGGAACAATTGACTTTCTGGTGAAGGGAAAGGGAGCGGATCATATTGTAGAAAACGGGTTCGTTAAGGACTGGAAGGCAACAGATCCAGGGGAGGAGGCTGAGGGGTGGGGGGTGTTAACAGAATAACAGAGTTGGAAGGGACCTTGAGATCTTCTAGTCCAAACCCCCCCCCCCTGCTCAAGCAGGAGGCGGCTTCGGCCTGCCACTGCGGGCGATGTCGGAGGGGAGCCTTCCCGGGGATTAGGTACAGAGACGGCCGGGGCGTCTAGGCCTCCTCCTCTCTCTGACTCTCCCGGCCTCCTTCCTCCCGCAGCGATGTTCCCCAACCCGGCCGCCGCCGCCGCCGCCATGGAGGAGCAGTTCCGGCAGCAGCAACAGCAACAGCAGCGGCTCCTGGTGCTCTTCAACGCCTCTTCGCTACCGCTGGCCAGTCTCTGGCCGCCCACCCACCTCTCGGCCGCCGCGGCCAGCCCCGCCCTCGACCTGCCGCCCGACGCCACCTTGGCCGGAGAGGAGGCCGGGACGGGCGGCTGGGATGCGGGCTCAGCCCTGGGCGTGGCGGGCGCGGTGAGCCCCTGGGACATCGTGCTGTGCGCCACCGGGACGGTGATGGCGGGCGAGAACGCACTGGTGCTGGCCGTGCTCTTCTACGCGCCGGGCCTGCGAGCGCCGCCCTTCCTGCTGATCGGCAGCCTGGCGCTGGCGGACCTGCTGGCCGGACTGGGGCTGGTGGTCAACTTCAGTGTGCGGTATCTGGTGCAGCCGCCCAACGAGGCGGCGACGCTGAGCGCGGCGGGGCTGCTGCTGGCCTCTTTCTCGGCCTCGGTCTGCAGCCTCCTGGCCATCACCGTGGACCGCTACCTGTCGCTCTCCAACGCGCTGACCTACCACTCGGAGCGCACGCGGACCTTCACCGCCGCCTCTCTGCTGCTGCTCTGGCTGGCCTGCCTGGCCGTCGGGCTCCTCCCGCTGCTGGGCTGGAACTGCCTGCGCCAGCCCAGCGCCTGCAGCGTCCTGCGCCCGGTCACCAGGGACAACGCCGTGGTGTTGGCCGTGGCCTTCCTGCTCCTCTTCGCCCTCATGCTGCAGCTCTACGGGCAGATCTGCCGCATCGCCTGCCGCCACGCCCAGCAGATCGCCGTCCAGCACCAGTTCATCGCCAGCGCTCAGGCCACCTCCACGCGCAAGGGGCTCTCCACGCTCTCGCTCATCCTAGGCACCTTCGCCCTCTGCTGGGTGCCCTTCGCTGTCTACTCCCTGGTGGCCGACGACTCCTACCCGCCCGTCTACACCTACTCCTTGGCCCTGCCGGCCGCCTGCCATTCGCTCCTCAACCCCATCATCTACGCTTTCCGCAACCCCGAGATCCAGAAGTCTCTGTGGCTAGCTTGCTGCGGATGCATCCCGGCCGGCTTCTCCTCCCGGCCCAGGACGTCCAGCGATGTATAGAGGGGGGCTGGGCCAGAGGCAGCTGGGAGCCAACACACCTCCTCCCCCCACCCACTGCCGTCCCACCCCCCGTCTCCTTCTGGATGCTCGCCTTCCGGAGTCTCCGCGGGAGGAAGAAAGGAAAGACAGCGCAGAAACACGCGACCGCCGACTTTCTGGGGAAGGAAAGCCGAGGTCGAGAGGAAAGCCATTGCAAAAGGTTGTTTTCATATATCAGATTTTGCTAAAAAGGAGACAAGACGAGAAGCGTCCGACTTTGGCTGGGGCTCCCTAGAAAAGGAGAGGCAGCAAGTTGGCCAAAGCGCCTCCCCGAGGGATTCAGCGGAGAGGAATTGCAAAACGCCTTTGCCCTTAAGGCCTTTCCTTGATTTGTTCTAAAGTCCCTTAGTGTAAAAACCTTGATCTCAGGAGGGGCGGGGGGAGGGGCCAAATGGATCCCGATTTATTTATGTTTTAAGTAATCTTTTATTGGCGGGAGGGATCATTCTCAGTTCTTGTGAGATCGCCCTTCAGGAGGGGAGGAAGGCAATAAAAGTGGGAGCAGGATGGGTGGTGTTTTGTTTTGTTTTGTTTGTTTTGTTTGTTGGTGGAATCTTGCCCAGTTTTAGGGGTTGGGGTATGGGTGGCTTGTGGGTGAAAATGCGGCCCAAGCAGCCGATCAGCTGCACCCTTCCGACTTCAGCTGGAATGTAAGCGTTTCAATGCTGGCTATAGCGGACTCCTTTGCCGGGAACGCCGCCGGAGGGAAAGCCGAGGCCGTTTGTCAGGGATGTCCTTTTTTTGTTTTTGTTTACTCCAGTCAGATTTTTGTCTGCTATGCAATATCGAAACAATAGTTGAAAACACGCGCGCGCGCACACACACACACACACACACGAACAGAAGATGCAGGCTGCCCACAGGCTCACGCGCGATGACGACGAGCCGAGTCGGAGTGGGATGACTCGAGCCAGCCAAAATGGCTTCTCGTCATCCCGCTTCAGCACCTCCGCCCTCGGACAGCTCCCTGCAAGCAGCAGGAGACCTCCGGAGTCCCCACCTCACCCCGCCATTCTCAGCCCAGGAGTTTTCATGGGGGAAACATGATTGAAAGGTGGGGTGTATCTTGCGCATGTCAGCCCAGGTAGAACGCAGGGCAAAAAAGGAGGAACCCCCCCCCCAATCCTTCAGTATTGCCCGTTTATTCTCCGCCCTTCAGGAAGATTGAGTAATTTATGGGTGGGGGGAGGTCTGTTGAGGGACTCCTCCCCCCATTTCCAACAGTGCAAACCCACCTAGGGAGCTACAGGCCTAAAAGCACATTAAATTCATAAAGTCTCACTATTTAAGATTAAGGCAAGCCCTTTTGTCTTTGGAGGTGACTTGTGAGATAAAGGCAGGGGCCAAAGTAGGCTGACTTACAATGGAAGCAAAGGGGGAGAACACGGAAACCACAAGTAGTTGCTATGACTTCTTAACTACTCTGCCCACCATCCCCATCTGCTCTTCTGATTCAAGGGTGGGCCATTCCTCTTTCAAACTGTCAGCTTGATTAAGTCCCAGCATTGACTTGGAAAAAGAGGGACCTCCAACTTAGCTAGCATGTTCTGTCAACACAAATGTATGTGTGCAACACATCTGAAGAGCATGTTTTCCTCAATCTATTTTCTCTGGAATGTGAAATTAGCAAATTGCCTCCTGTCTTTGATTTTATTTTGATTGAGGAAAGGAATGCATTGGGGCCATTTCATAAAGAGAGAATGGTGGGGAAAATAATATTTCACTGAATTTAGGGCCATTTCCTCATTAGTGATTCGAACTTCCTCATGTGTCACCCAACCATCATTGCAACCACTTGTCAACTATCTTTAGTGTCGTTATTTCAGTATAAGGACTGTTGGAGATGTTGTAAGTCACTACAAGAGCCACAGTGGCACAGTGGTTAGTATGCAGTACTGCAGGCTGCTTCTGCTGACTGCCAGCTGACTGCAATTTGGCAGTTTGATTCTCACCAGGCTCAAGGTTAACTCAGCCTTCCGTCCTTCCAAGGTGGGGAAAATGAGAACCCAGGTTGTTGGGAGCAATAGGCTGACTCTGTAAACTGCTTAGAAAAGCACCACAAAGTGGTATATAAGTCTAAATGCTATTGCTATTGCTACAAGCAGTCCTTGTTAGGGCCAAGTTAGTTGTAACAGGTTTACTGAAGAATCCCATTACGTCATCAAAGAGGCTAGCAGATTTAAATCCATTCAGACTTACTTTGTAGTGTGAATGCAAGTCATTACACAACTTAATTAAGCATGATTTACTGGCTTTCGTGGATTTCTACTACGTGCAAATTCTCCTTCCAATTCATAAGGTAATACAGTCATGATCCCTTTTGAAATATTTCATTTTAAAAGTTATTTTAAATTCAATTTCATTACTTCTCTGTTTTTAATTGAATGTCTTCTGCATAACAGCTTAAGCAGGTCAGGTGAAGATGTATGATACAGCATACTAAATGTCTGGTTTTTTTTAAATTTCCTAATTATTTCTATCTCCTCTCCCTCAAGATTGGAAATACGTCCTACTGTGATTAGTGGATACTTCACTGAGGTGTCTTGGGTTTATGGTCTTTTCCATTTATTGTTTTAAGTGTTAATTCCAGAAGTTCTTGTACTGTTGTAAGTCTTTGGACTCTGCTAAAAAGGATTTCATCCTGTATAAACCCATCACTTATTACATTCTGTGAGGGTGTGTGGGAATGACCTTGCCAGACAGGTGAAGGAGGACATATTGCCCAGGCAAATAGTTGATAAGAAGCAGCTCGATCTGCAAGTTGGGAAAAAGCACCGGAAGCATTTCCTAGGGCAGTGTTTTTCAACCTTTTTTGTGCAAAGGCACACTTTTTTCATGAAAAAAATCACGAGGCACACCACCATTAGAAAATGTTAAAANACAGGGACTTTGCGATGTCCCTGTGACCAGCAAGGCTTTGGCTTCCCTGTCACCGTCTCTTCGGGACGGTTTAGGTCCTACTGGACCATTCAAAGACAAAAGTTTCATCGACAGACCCGGACTGTTGGGTCCGTGCGATGTCTCATCGTGACGTTGGCTCCTCCCTCTCCATAAGGCAGCTTTCAGAGAGAGGTTCTTAGCAGTTGTTCTTCCTAGGTGGGCATGATGGGGTATCAGAACCTCTTAATGGGTCTGTTCCTGGTTGTTTCTGGACCTCGTGGTTCTTCTCTGGCACACTACAGGGATCATTTCCATGGCGGTGGCTTTGAGATGCAAGCATTCACTATAGGTGCCCTGTCTTTTGTTACACATCCTGCTCAGCTATGATTAGATGGATTCCAGTCCCACCCACCTACATTTCTTCATTCTAACCTCCAAATAAGCACCTGGCTGTTAGGCTGTTAGGATGGGCACAAATGGTTGATTTAAGCAGCACCAAATGTTCCCACTTAATCATTCTTTCTTTCCACCCTCTGTAAGTGGTTTTTTTCATGTTCAGGTTTTCATCTGTTTTTTGTGTAGTCGTCCACTATCCCCCGTTTTTTCTTTCTTTGAGTTTTGTTTTGTTTTGTTTTTGTTTTGTAATTATGCATTAGTATCTCCTTTTTTTTTCTTTTACAAACTCTTACTCATGAGTTCCTTTCTTCATTATCTTAACTGTCATGGTATCCTACTGTTTTTCATTGCTCTGAGTTTAATAAAATTTTATTTCTTGAAATCCACGGTAGATAAGAATTCCAATGTTACCTTACTGTTTTTGTCTCAAATGTGTCAAGATTTCTACTAAGACTTCAAGTTGTGTGTGTGTGTGTGTGTGTGTGTGTGTGTAATCTGTTACTAGAACTTGTGGAAAGCTCATTTCATCTTCTCAACCCGGCCCCATTCCTTTTTTTTTTTAAGCATCATGCAATCACTTTTGAGTCAGACATAAAAAGAAGAGGAAAAAATAGCAAGAATTGTGAATGACAGTCATTAAAATCCCTGGAACTAAATATATTGCTGCAGCAAAAGAAAATAAGTTACACGTTTATGAAGTTTCCTAAAAGGATGAGTTGTCAAGAAGCAAGGCAGCCATAGAAGAATAGATAGGTTAAAGGATGGATGGATGGATGGATGGATGGATGGATGGATGGATAGATAGATGGATGATAGGTAGGTAGATAGATAGATTGATGAGAGAGAGAGAGATTTGTTGTTGTTTGGTTGCTAAGTCATATCAACTCTTTGTGACCCCATAGACCACAGCCTGCCAGGGTCCCCTGTCCTCCACTATCTCTCAGAGTTTGCAAGATGGATGGATGGATGGATGGATGGATGGATGGATGGATGGATGGATGGATGGATGGATGGATGGATGGATGGATGGATAGATAG